GACCAATTAGCCTCATTGAACATATCAAAAAACTTTATACTAAAATTCTAACTAACTGACTTATCTTATCACAACTTAATTATATTGCATTATCAGGTAACAGTACAGTAATACCTATTCACATACTTAATTCATGATCCGCTGATCAGTAGTACAAAATAGTTAGTGTAATGTGGGGCAAAAATTTTGTAGATCACTAATGAATTTTGAGAAAGTTGAGAAAGTTAGCTATTAGGTAGCATTGTCTGATACGTTATTTATTAAAACCTCCTTTTTACATACAGATTACCATGACTATACGCTTTGTTTAATATAATTTTTCAATAGACTTGTCTTTTTATTTCAAAGGTTCAAATAGTGGGCAAAGTGAGATTGGCACCGTTATATTCATACCTACTCTGTTAATTCCAATTCATAGTTTATTAATAATCAAAATGGTTTGCAGGTGTATTTTTTATATATTTTTTTTATAAGATCAGGTGTTTTTAGTGGGAACCTTCTTTAAAAGGCTAAGTTCCAATTTACATATCTATTATGCTACGATCCTAGGTGAATATTAATTTAGCGGCTTATTTTATATGAAGAACAAGATCTATTTCTCATAATTAGTTATCGAATATAATGGTATATATATACTGTAATGACCTATAATTTTTTTTTTTTTTTTTTTGTCATTCTGATAATAAATATTATTTTATTGGTTTCAACATAGTAACATACCCGACCAGTGGATTGATGATATTGAACAAATACTTGTATTGATCACTATTTTTTTTTTCTTTTGAAATGAATTTGACGAGCATTTTAATTTATTTTTATCAAAAGGAGTGGTAGAAGAAGTAATTGTATCAAGTGAATTATTGATGTTGTCACGGGATTAGCCAGGAACCTTGTAGTAAGAAATTTTATTGGATACAGTATGTCATGTTTTATTTATCATATCTAATTCTACACAAAAGAACCAATTTTACAACTTCAAATTAATTTCAGACAATATGCTTATCCCTATCATTAGTATTTATAAATGAAAGGCCCCATAAATTGAAAAGGAATAAAGCTGGTGCTGTATGATAGAGAGAAATAGTTTGTTCGCATAATAGAACTTTTTTTTTTTTTTTTTTTTAAAAAAAAAAGGAAATTAGTAATAAACTAACGTATAATCGTCAATCACAATGATGTAATACATCAGGATTATGTCAAATAGAACAAGTCAGGGTTAGTAAATAAAAACAAATTAGATGCATGATGTGATGCTTTCTTTTTTTTTTTTTTTTAACTTAGGCAATCTTGCCCTTCATTTATTAAGAGAAAGCAAAATAATCCAAATTAATCTAGCTACTAGACTGCCCTCTAATTTTAATTCTGGACTCACTCGGCTTCCCTAAGTGCCTAAGTGCGATCAGCCGCAAAAGTAATTTTTCTTCTAAAAGAGTAGTTTGAATAATATTTTCTAGTTGTTTAAGATCCTGATATAATTCAGTTACTTTGTAAGAATATTGGTGGTAAAAGTTGTGAGCTTTAAATTTTTTGTTTAGAATTTTTGTTAAAGCTGCTTGAATGATGCTTGTTTGAATTTTGTGCCAAAATTTCTCAATGGACTTAGAAGTTTGTTCAGTTGTTGGGATTTTGTTTTGTTCAAGATTTTGAGTGACAGTATCTGTGAATAGTTCTCATTTTTCTTTGTTTATAGCCTTGTAATTAAAGATCCTATGACTACTACCTGTTTTGCATCTATTTTTTCTCATAGTAGCAAAAGGGAAGGTCCATTAGAAAATAAGTATTTTGTAGTCACTATTAGTAATTCCATCAGAATTTATTAGTTAGAAGTTTAGGAAATATGGGATAACTGAGTAGTGAGCCTAAATATAATCAATACGGCTGCTGAATTGAGTGCTATACCAAGTATTTTGTAAGTTTTGAGTATGTTTACTCAGATCATATATATTATTACTATATAGAAATGTTAGTAATTGTATTTTGAATAAAGTTGAAGTTCGTTGATCTGTATTAGCATTAAAATCTCCTAGTATAATAAGTAGAATGTTGTTAGCCAATGCTTGTTGTATCCATGAAATAACTTTGCTTTGAGTTGAATTTCGTTGATTAGAGCAAGTAGATAATAAATAAACAGAAATAATTCTAAATTTAAAGTTGTTTTTGAAGAAGAGGTCTATAGCAATAGCTCCTCCTGGATATGTAATTATATTATGGATATGAGGTCGAAGATGGTTTGCAATCATTAAGCTTATGCTTTTAGCAGAGTTTTCTGAGTTAGACCAGTAGTAGGTGTAATAAGGTGTGTTGAGAAATTTGAGCTTTTTGTGTATTGCAGAAATCTTGGTTTCAGTAATGCTAATAATTTGAAGATTATATAAGAGGCAGTAGTTTTCCCATAGCTGTCTTTTGGTTGGTGTATTGAATCCTTGAATATTATGTGTAGTAATGTTTAGTTGTAGTGGTTGTGTTTGACTACGGATAGGGAGATATGAATATGTTTTGTAGTCCTTAGTACTGAGTGTTAAATGATTTGGGAGAGTGGAGTCAATATTGCTTAATTTTTACTATATGTTTTTTTTTAATATTATTATAAAACTTATCTACATTTTTGCATATGCAAAATAGCTCAAACTTAATATCATATCAATTGCTTCCTATATTGCATCTGATACTATTAAGTATAATTCAACTTCTATTTTGTACTAGTTTATAAATTTATTTCTTAAACTAGCTATTATATAACATAGCCTAACAATTGTTTTTTTGAATTCATTTATGCTATAAGCTGAATGCTCTTTAGGAATAATCATATTCACTAAATTATTAAAAAAATCTTTAAGTTGGAAAATAGCATCTTCAATTATCTGTTCAAAATCTATTGAATCTAATTGTAATTTAATATATTTTTGATATTGTTTATAGTATAATATATTTATTAATATTTATATATCTGAAGCAAAAGTAGAGTCTATATTATTTTTATTTGATCTAGATTCTATTAGTACTAGTACTTCTCATTAATATTTTTACTATTGCTATTGCTGTTATTGTTCTTGCTATTGTTGTTATTCTTGTCACTATTATTATTCTTACTACTGCTATTACTGTTGTTGTTCTTGTTGCTATTGTTGTTTTTGCTACTACTGTTACTGTTGTAGATTCTACTGCTACAATTACTACTACTATTGTTGATCTAGTTGCTGCTGTTGCTGATTTAACTGATTCTGAGATGATTATTGTCTATAAACTTTTTTTTTTTCTTGATCATTTTTTTATTTATTTCTATTAACTTCTACTATCTTACAGTAGTATGAGTAGTAAAGTTAATTTCTAACTTTAAAGTAAGGATATATTTCTAATGTTTATTTTTTATTATATTTCTTATAAGCAAATTTTGTAATTACATGAAATCTAATACAAGTAATTTTACAATCAGTTATTACACAGAGACTACAGTTTTCTGTTCTCATAAATAACTTTTGAAATTTTTTTTTTATATTTTGTATTTATTATATACTATTGTATTGACCAATTATATTTAAAAAAATTACAAGACATGATAGCCAATAGAAGAGAACTTCAGTTATACTGCCAACTATATAAATTATTATATTGCAGATTTTTATGTTACACAAGTATAAATCAATTTTATCATTATATTATGATATTTTTTTCATGTTTTTTCATTTATTTGCTGAAACTTAGCTTACCTCATATTATTGTTACTTTTGTTTAGAAATTTTTGACATCTTTTAAATTAAATATGATCTACTTCAAAATTATTTAACTCATTAACAAAATATTGTATTACCTAGAAATTTTCACAAGTTGTTTGTAAAATATAAAAGAATAAAACTATGCTTGTAGGTTTTTTGAAATATGCAGATTTTACATATTCAATAAATATAAAATATCAAATTTTATTAAAAAAATACTATTTGGTATTTGTAAATTAGAACTAATATGAACTTTTTAAAAAAAATTGAATATAACTTTGTTGTAATAGTTCTTGCAAAGATTTTTCAATCAAAAGAAGTTAGAGTAATAGGTTCAACGTTCAGGTGAATCCTTTAGAATTTAGCGCTTTTTCTTTATAATTAAATTACATAAAATGATTATTAATTTGATTTTAATTTTACTGATAAAAATTTGATCATAGTAAAATGATCAATTTAACTAACATAGTTTTGATTAATTAATTCGTGCCCCACCCCAATATTCAATAAAAGTTTATTGTACGGGTCTTATGTGACAACTCGTGCTTTTTTCATTTACTTATTGGCACCGGATTGTCACATCAGACACAGCGCAATAAGATTAGTGATGGGAAAAATGCGCATTTTATAATAACATGCGCATGAAACGTAAAATGCGCATGATATAAATTCTCGTTTTTCTGTTTCATTTCGGAAAAAATCGTTATGTTTCTCAAATTTCGGCCGCGACCTTGCTCGTCTTTGAGGTTCATTCATTTTCTTTTCGGAAATTTTCGTAATTTTTGAAATTCCTATCCTCTAATTCCGCCCGGCATTATGCTCTCTGGCCTAAATTACGCAGCCTAACCAAACATATATAAATTCTTGATGGGCAAAAATGCGCATGAAACGGAAAAATGCGCATTCATGCGCATGTTTCAGGTATCATGCGCACGCATGATACCCATCTCTAAATAAGATAGTTACACACAACACACGGGTTCATATTTAAATCCCGTGCCTTCAATGAACCCGTGTGTAACTGGGTTATTCACATACGTACAATACGTACGTATAACTATAATTTATTATAGGTCACAATAACTGATTTTATAATAAAAAATTTCATAACGATAACGATAAAAATCGAAATACTCAAAATTGTTTAACGCTAACTCTAAATGTAAAAATAGACTTTTTTTAATAGGAAATACACCATAATATAACCTATTTTGCCATTACTGTGTAACTGTCATTTTTATAAATATCAGGATGTATACGTACCCGATACTGTACAAATTAATAACAATGGTAACGAATATTGTTCAAACAGATTTAATTTCAGATGTTATTGTAGAAGTATTAGAACATCTAAGTAGTATTCGAGATATACTTTCAGCACTTTTAGTTAACCGAGAATGGTCCCGTGCGGCAATTCCAATTTACTGGAAAGCACCATTTAATTATCCGCAAGAATTTAGTAAGACAGCACTAAAAACATATGAATTATTTCTTAAGAATGAAAGTACAAAAGATACAAATCAAAAAAAGTTAACAGCACTTTATGATTATCCATCATTTCTTAAAGTACTTAATTATACAAATTTATTGGCTTCTGAAACAAGTAAATATGATAGATGTAGAAAAATTAATGAAATACTTCAAATGCTAAAAGATCATGGGGTTCGTTTGGACTCATTAATTATTGAAAATATTGGTGCAAATAATGAAGGAGTTTATGGATTATGGGCAGCATCAGCTTATACACCTTATGGATTATGGGCAACATCAGTTTATACACCTATACTAAGTTTCCTTAATAGTGTCGAAATATACGCACCTTTAATACAAAAAAAAAAAAAAAAAAAAAATTAAGCAATATTTTATAGACAATATAATGTTACTATAAATTAGCAAAAAAAAAAAAAATACAATATATTAAATTAGTTTTTTTTTCTAGAATAATAAGTTTTATATTTACAATATCAACAATTATCATACAATTTATGAAAACTATATACTAAATACAAATCTTACCCAAAACTCTTCTTCTTTACAACAAGAAGATAACCAAACTGAGGAAACTATTGAATCAACACCCAATAGTTCTAAACTTTCATATGCAGAAATAACTACTTAAAATTTCTAAATTTGTCTTCTGTAAATTATATGGATACAACCACTACCTCTAAAATAATGATGTCCTCACTTCTTGTGAGCTATTTTTAGAGGAGAATGTAATAAGTAGACAGGTGAGAAAATCTATTTACGTGAAGAATCAAGCTTATGACAGTCAGACTCAATGTACAGAGCAGACTATGAAACTCTCTGCAACTGTGAGAACTGGGTATATAGCGAATACTTTTACAGAAGACTTACAATCACCCTCAATTACCACTACTTCAACTCCTATTGAGGATTTATCAAATACTTGCTACAATATATTCTTATTATACTACAACTTACTCTTACTACAAAAACCACAAACTCTGAGTTTTTTTATCTAATATCTCTATAATAACAACTTCTCCCAATCTCTTAAAATCTCTATTAATTCTACATACTCTGAAACATATGTTTATACTAACAAAAATGATCTACTTTTTTTGAATTATACTCAACTACTAATTAATAAACAATCTAATTACTATCATTTACCAATTAGATCTACTTCTAATAATACATCCTACTTCAACAATACTATTAACAATTTCTCTATTGAAATCAAATATACATCACTTCTAATCAAAATTGCCTCTATAAATATAAATGGCCTCCTTCAACTAAACAAAAAACTCTCAATAACTGAAGCTCTTGACAATAATACATATAATATTTTAGGTCTTTCTGAAACACATTTATCTATAAAAGAAGAGAAAATCTTTAATAACCAAATCAAAAACTACTAAAGCTTTTGGAGTTCCTTTACTCACTCTTATCAAGCAGGTGTAGGAATTTTTGTTCACTAAAAAATCTCTAAATATATTGCTTGTACACATAATTATAAAGGTCATGTAATTGGTCTTGATTTTCATTTCAAAAACTCACCAACAAGACTTCTACAAATTTATATTCCTATACAGGAAAAAAAACAACTTCGCAAAGAAATATAAGAATATATTATCTCTTTATTACAACAGCCAACTTATAAAATTATAATTATGGGAGATTTTAATAGTTTTCTAAATGCATGCCTAGACCGATCTCCTCCTAAAAAAATATCTATACCAGAACTTCAACTTACAAAATTCTTAATAAGCTATCAATACAAAGATATCTACTGTTATTTTTTTCCAAAAACAAAAAATTTTACCTTTCACTGCTCTCATATCTCAAGTCGAATTGATCAAATTTGGACAAACCTATCCATATCTATTATTAACTATACAGATATTATTTCTGATAACATATTTGACTCTGATCATAATGTCATAACACTTGAAATTTCAATTATTATTAACAAACCAAAACCCTCTAAACAATAAAAAAGAAAATGCTTTCTTTGAAAAAACTACTCTAAAAAAATACTTGAAAACTATTCTAATCAAACAACTCAAAGCTTACAACAAATAACTTCTCAAATTAATTTAATAACAAAT